AGCTTAATCATAAAAGAGAGCAGGGAATCTAGAAAGGTAAGGGAGACCCTCCACCACTCTATTTTTCATTTTTAAATGGTTAAAATATTAATTAGTTCCTCAACTCTCTAATTTATATTAAAATTGTCTCTCAACTTCAAAAAATATCAAAATTATCCTGAAATTTTAATTTTTGGTGACAAAATAGTCCTTCCGCACCAAGAATATAGAACAAAGTCAACAACTCTGCATTCTACAATATAGGCCGGTGCAATTTTGTCAAAATGGCCAATGAAGTCAGCAAAAATGGCCACTCAAGTCTACAAAAGTGGTTAACTTCCAACTACATTTTACTTTCCATTTATTACCCTTACTAAGCTTTAGCCTATAAATAGTCATGTTTCCTCCCTTGTATACATCAAGTTTTAATCAAAGTTTTTGATTTTTACTTCATTTAGTAAGTGAGTTCAGAGAGTGAATTTCTCTTATTTATCTCGTATTTTAGGTCTTGTCAACTTAAGTAGTAATTTAAGCAATTGAATTCCTCGTAGTGAGGATCTAAATCTTGCCAAAATCTATGTTTTGGTATCAACTCATACACCGTTTGCTATCAAAGCCAACATAGTTGAAGCCTACACATTCTTCTGAGCATTCCGGTGAAAATCCGATGACCAAAAATTTTCCATGCGCCTTCACATGTTGTTGTCATTCTTTCACGCGCCATCAAAATGCAGTTGGAAGTTGGTCAATTTTGTAGACTTGAGTGGCCATTTTAACAAAATTACACCGACTTATATTGCAGTTTGCAGAGTTGCTAACGTTGTACTGTATTCCTGGTGCATTTGATGTCAGAGCAACATATTTGAAGCATGCATGTCTTTTTGAGCATTTTGGTGAAAATCCAATCGCCATAAAGTTTTCACGCGCCATTGTTGTTGTCTCACGCACTCTCAAAATCCAGTTAGGCTTGAGTGGCCATTTTTGCTGACTTGAGTGGTCATTTTGACAAAATTGCACTAGCCTATATTGTAGTCTACAGAGTTGTTGACTTTTTCTGCATTCCTAGTGCATTGGCAAATGGATGATGTGGTGATGATGAGGTGGTAGATGCTAGGTTGAAGATGACTGACACGTGAACTACACACGAGTTGTAGTGGTGCGATTTCATTGGCGCATGAGACAATGGCGATGGCACATGAAGGAGGGTGGGTCACTTTCTGGCCATGGCGGTTTCACTAGAATGCTCAGGACGTGCAGACTCAAAATATGTTGGCGCTAATACTTAATGCACTAGGAATGTAGAACAAAGTCAGCAACTCTGCGGATTGTAATATAGACCGGTGCAATTTTGTTAAGCAACTCTATAGGCTGTAATATAGACCGGTGCAATTTTGTTAAAATGGTCACTCAAGTCAGCAAAAATGGCTCTTCAAGTCTACAAAAATGATTAACTTTCAACTGTATTTTACTTTTCATTTATTACCTTAGCTTTAAATGAAAACTAAGATGCAGTCTATAACTAGAACTAAGGTAATAAATGAAAAGTAAAATGCAGTTGGAAGTTGGTCATTTTTGTAGACTTGACTGGCCATTTTAACAAAATTACACCGACTTATATTGCAGTTTGCAGAGTTGCTAACGTTGTTCTGTATTCCTGGTGCATTTGATATCAGAGACAACATATTTGAAGCCTGCATGTCTTTTTGAGCATTTTGGTGAAAATCCAATCACCATAAAGTTTTCACGCGCCGTTGTTGTTGTCTCACGCACTGTCAAAATCCAGTTAGAAGTAGTTTGCCATTTTTGTTGATTTGAGTGGCCATTTTGACAAAATTACATTGGCCTATATTGTAGTCTACAGAGTTGCTGACTTTGTTCTGCATTCCTGGTGCAAGCACCAAGACAGTATGTAATAGATGGCTACTTTTCAAGCAAATCCTCCCCAAATAATTCGCTTTAAGGGTGTTTTTTTTTTTTTTGGTACAATTGGGCTTTAAGGGTGTTGTTGTTGCATAATGGGCACAACTTCTTGGGCTTTGACTAACAGCTTGGTGAACTTATTGGTCTTCCCCGCCATGTCCTGGTAAAAATAAAAAATGAATTAAAGAACGTATCATTATTGTTATAAAAAGTACAAACACAAAAAACGTGGTTATTTTTTTAGCACAAAGATCCTTCATGGTATAATGTGAGAATGCTGTAGTACTGGATTTGAAGCAAACAATATCTCATGCTTCACCCTTCTTTAAAGTTGAATAAAACAAATATTAGTAAAAAACTGACATTGAGAAGTTGCCCTTGCACCACCGGTCGAAGAAACATATGTGAGGGCATGAGGTGCTGTCTCCAGTCTCCATGCATGAATATTGGCATGTCATGTACTGTAGATTTGGTCTACACATCTCTATGATTGTTTCACCTTTAGAATTGTAGAATGAAGATATGAAGCCACCACACACCAATAGCCATAGAGAAATCTGATAATCTGACTAAGCAGAAAGTACTTGTGATTTCATCCTTTTTTTTTTTCCCCTTCGAAGTTGAGGTTCTATAGAATGATACAACTGCCATCTATATAAATCTACAATTACAGTAAGTATAATTCAAATAGAGGTGGTAATGGTCAGAAAAACCAAATGAACATGTGATAGATTGAAGATGTTAGATAATATTATTTGTAAAATAAGGGTTAATTTGTATAAATTGACAACTCTAAAAGGTTATTTATCAGTAAAAAAAATGTTGAGAGAGTGATCATTCACTCAAAACTTGTAATAAAATTGATTTACATAATTTGTCAAGGGAAAGTTCTCTCTTTCTCCTCGTTTAGCTTAATCATAAAAGAGAGCAGGGAATCTAGAAAGGTAAGGGAGACCCTCCACCACTCTATTTTTCATTTTTAAATGGTTAAAATATTAATTAGGTCCTCAACTCTCTAATTTATATTAAAATTGTCTTTCAACTTCAAAAAATATCAAAATTATCCTGAAATTTTAATTTTTGGTGACAAAATAGTCCTTCCATTAATAAAAATATCACATAACTCATTATTTTACTACAAAATCAGTTTTTTTAAAATATTAATAATGTGTAAAATCAAATAATTATATTTTATCATCATGAAATATTTTTATTTACATATTAAATTGATATATAATCAAAATTGAAAAACTAAATAGGTATTTGTAATCAAAGTTTAAAGACTAAGTTGGTACTTGTCTTCAAAGTTTGAGAACTAAATTGGTATTATCTTCAAAGTTTGTGCACTCTTTTGATACCAAAAATTAAAATTTAGGGACAATTTTGGTATCTTTTTAAGTTGAGGGATAATTTTGAAACAAATCTAAAAGTTAATGGACAAAATTAATATTTTAACCTGTTTAAATTGGGATAGAATGGATTGAGTCAAAATGTGGGTCATTTTTTATTTTTTTAATATGTATATTATTTTAATTATTTATTTAATTAATAAAATAATAATATCTATCTTATTTTATTCTTTAAAAAATTACTTAAATAAATAAAAATATCATTATTTTCTCTCCTTTACTTTTATTTATACAATTCTAAATGAGACTAACAACTATCATTTCCCTTACTTTAAAATCCGTTCCCTTCCTTTCCTTCCATTTCTTTTACTAACTTTTATCTTTAGTCAGTAAATAAATATAAATATTATTTTTAAATTTTTAAATTTAAAAAAAATATAAAACAAAAATTATTTTTAAACAAAGAAAATGTAAATTAATAAAATTATAATTAAATTAATTATAATTAAATTAATAACCTTAACAAATTAAATGATGATAATTACCTTTACCCCCTCATGCTAAATCAGCTTTTTATATAGAGTAGACGTTAAATCTATTGATGATAAGAAAATATAAGTGTTAAATCCATTAAAAAGTTGAAAAAAAATAAAACCAAATAAAATCACATGACATTAAAAATATTTAAATATTTAATTATAATTACAAATAAATAAAATATAATATATACTTCACCTAAATCTCATCCAGAAATTAAGTGTGTTAAAAATATCCCTACGTACTAGTTTTCACTTTTCTTCCTCCATTAATCACTAGGGAGGTAGTAGAGGTTAGTGGGCTTCATTTAAGGCAAACATTAAGACCGAAGTCAACACCTAAGGACAAAACATAAGTGTTCTCCGTACTGCAGCTACAGAACTGGGCTGCTAAAGGTCTTCCTTTGCTCCCCTCAAATATTGCCATGTCAAAATAAGACCCCACCATTAAACTGTTTAAGTCAAGGACTTTAGGTGTGAGATCATAGATTTCGTTTGGCAGAACCAGGTAATTTGTTTGCTCGGGTAAGTGCTCTCTGTTTCCGGTTAATATTTTATTCTGCTCTGTGTGGAATTTCAATTTTCCAATACCATTTGCGTGGTAGATTTCTACATCATTTCTTATCCTCTGTTTGGTTGCTGAGAAAAAAGTAGGAAATGTAGAGCCAAAGTTTGAATCTAGGTTTTCCTTTAGTTTAACATATTTATTAGTTTTTCTGATCACTGGGAACAAAAGACTCTCAATTGATTGAGCAATCTTCCTAGTTTCTTCCCCCAATTTGTTGTTTAGGGAACCAAATCAAGATACCATTTTTTTTTTTCTGGGCAAAGAGTTTCAATCTCTTTTCTTTTCCAGGTTTCTCTATATATATTATACACTCACTATGTTTTTTCTCTGTTAATATATATAATCTGCTATTTTATACTCTATGAAAGCTTGATATCTTCTTAATAGATTTTCATCAACCCATTTTGTGTCTTCTGATCTCAGAAGAACAAGAAGAAGATGTCTTTGCTTCTTGAAATCTTGAAATGCATTCTATGTTGTGAGGATGAGGAGTTTGATGATGACAATGAAAGTTCCCAGGTAATTTCTTTCGGGATATCCCATGTTTACAACACTTTTTCTACCTGGACCTCGTCCCCTAGAGTACAATTGGATAGAACAACATCCAGGAACCAGCGGAACACTGTAAATTCATCTCTCATTAACTCAACTAGGAAAGAGTCTTTGCCTCGGTCATATTTACCTACTCATTCCAGGGTAGTGTTAGATTCACAGACTAGTAATCCTTCTTCAACCAGATTAACAAAGGGTAAGGAAGTAGAAAGAATTTATCCAGGGCTTTTGAATTCTAGGAGTTCCAGTACAACATTCAATCTTCCACCCCCACCTTCACAAACATCAGTTCAGTCTTTATCTAGGCTGACTCCACCGCCATCATCTCTTAAACCCTCAACATCTGCATCAAAACCTTCTTCATCTTCCTCTATAACCCTGACATTCCCTTCGCCTGGAAAAAGTTCTTCCACAAAACAGCATTTGTCTTCTCTTAATCCATCATCAACATCTTCTAAACCATCTGTCGCTTATACTACCCAATCATCTTTCGCTAAACCACCTTCATCCTCTGTGCCAACTTCATCTGCTTCTAGCCTTTTTCCATCCTCTAAGCTAACTCTAGTCCCTTCCTCTGCTGCTGTCCCACGTTTGTCTTCTCCTAATCCCTCATCAACTTCTTCCAGACCGTCTGCAGCTTCTGTTAATCCTCAATCATCTTACCCTAAATCATCTTCATCTTCTCCAAGCCTTCTTCCATCCTTTAAGCCAACTCCTGTCCCTTCCTCTGCTGCAGTCCCTAATCCCCAATCATCTTACCCTAAACCACCTTCATCCTCTGGGCCATCTTCATCTTCTCCAAGCCTTCTTCCATCCTTTAGGCCAACTCCTGTCCCTTCCTCTGCTGCTGTCCCTAACTATCCCGATAAGGAAAAGAAAGGAAAATACATCCAGGTTGAAAATGATCCATTGCATTTTTACATGATTCCGGATAATATTGAGAACTTGATCGAGAGAGGCATAGTGCCTGAACTTCTGAAGAAGCCATTGTCTCCTTCAACTTACAAGGATTACTTTGCAACTTTGCTATATGCTGAGGACTTCTATATCAAGGTAGAATGAATAAAATGCCTCCTATTATAATTTGATGCACTTTAGAGCATGATAATGGAATGTTCTTTTAATTCAGTCTATTGAATATCTTGCTTCTGCATTGTGATTGAGAAGAAGTGCATGCTTTTTATCTAAAACAGAAATGGAGCAATTTTGAACTGTTGAATGTGACTTTGGAGTTGCATGAAGCAACCAAGGGGGAAGACAGAATTACATCTTACAATAATGGTGATGAGAAAGATGACAAAATCTATGTTGCATTGGATGTAGGCTCCACTTTTCGGGCGCGGCCGTTTCTTCTGTCAAAGGACACTGTATTTGCACAGCCCTCGCGTAGAAAAGTGGCGCCATTTCAGGTTTTCCTCCTCTTCTTTGATGAATATATTCTATAATTTATCTGATATTTATAGATGAAGATATAGATTGGCCAATGCTTGTGTTAATCTTACTAATAGGGCGTTATCCATCGAGTGGTGAAGAGCTCAACTGTGTTGGTGGAATTTGGAGAAGATTTTCATTCTCAGCATCATAAAAGCAGGAAATATGATATTACTTTCTCATTCAACAGAGTTTACCTGGAGAGGGCTCTTCAAGCAATCGCAGCAGCCTCTGATCCTTCATTCCAAAAGTTCCTTTTTCCTAAAAGTGCCTCCCGATTCCCAACCTCTATATCGTTCCTTCCCTATAGTCATAAACTTGATCTGGATCAAAATTCTGTAGTTCATCAGATGTTAAACTTTCGAGGCTCACCACCTTTTCTTGTAGAGGGCCAATTCTGTGCAACTTACTCAAAGCAACTGTCAAGAACTGGACTGGTTATTGTGGAAGCCATTCGCCAAATTTATCGACACTGTCCAGAGTCTCGGATCCTTGTTTGTGCGCCTATAAACAGCACTTGTGATGTGCTAATAAGAGGCTTGAAGAGGGATATACCAGAGTCCGACATGTTCCAAGCCAGTGTTGCACTTAGAGAGATTGAGACGCTATCTATGGACAACCTCAAGCAATTCCGAGTGGTACTGTCAACATATGTGGATGGCTATTGCCTCTATGACAAGGGCATCTCTGCTGGGCATTTCAACTATATTTTCTTGGTGGATGCTTCCTCTGCTACTGAGCCAGAGACAATGGTGGCTTTGGCTAACTTGGCTGATGAGGAAACAGCAGTTATAGCTACTGGTACACGCAAGGTCCACTCAAGCTGGTTCCGGCTAGATATTTGTCGGCAAAATGGATTGAGTATGTCGTACTTTCAAAGACTTTGTCAGAGTGATCCATATAGGACCAACGATCCAAGGTTCATATCTCATCTTTTTGCACGTGATTCGTGAATAAAATGAGATTTAAGATAAGTTTGAGATTGCTATCAACTGTTGTGACTATTCATGTATATTGTTGTCTTTAAAAGCTATTAGTGCTTGGTAATTACTTCTCAAAAAAGTTATAACAGATTTACATTTTTAATATTACATGCTGGTGATAAGCCAAAGCAGCAAGACTACGTATTTCCCTCTAAATTTTGGCTTTGATTCTTCACATAATTTTGAATCACCTGACACAACATCGGCTGTGCTAAAAACAGAAGAATGAAGTTTACCATCTTGCAACCACTATGATGATTCCCCTTGAACTCCAAATGCTTTATCATTGCGGCCTCTACGAGTTGCTCAGCATATGAGATTGTTTTCTTGAAAATCTGGCACCAAAGGGAAACACACGGGACACCCTTATAAATTTGCTATTTATGGTGTAAACAAGCATGTTTTTACCATAGTAAGTAAAACTCTACTGTGGCATCAGCTGAGTATCTGCTCAGAAGCAGCAACCAGTTAGAAGCAATAGATATATGCTCTGGAAAATAGTTCTCTGAAAATGGCATGCTAATCCTTGTGCTTGCGTTCAGAAATTATACTGATCTTGTATATCAGGGTAGTGATTTGGAATAGCATCAAAAAAAAAAAACAAAGGAATAGGTGATAGAAATTGTCAACAGATCTCGTAGCATAAGAAGATTGAGGTTTTCTTTTAAACAAGACAATACGCATTATTTAGTTTAAATATTTTCCATCATCACCATGTTCAAATATTTTATTTCTTATTTTAATTTTATTATTAATTATTAATTCTAATGATACATCTTATAATAAAAAAATATCCAATATAAAATAAAATAAAATATTTATTATTATGAAAGGGATAGAGTAATTCATTCTTTTAATTCAAACTTGTTTCACCAAAAATTAATTGTCTTTCATGGTAATAAACTTGCCTCTTTCTTTTGTTTTTTTTGAACATTGAGTAATTAGTTTGATAGAAAAGAAGTAAATTTTGGATTTAAAATCCAAGACATGCTGTCATAATCCAAGCATCCAGGCGGACGGCCATTATGCCACCACGGGCCATTTATGGTTTATAGAAATATCAAAAGTTGCATTCTTCTCTCCTTTTTTATTCCCAACAGATCCAGCACCACAAACTTTAACTTCAACCAAAGTCATGCAACATATATCAACACAGACTGCCCAGGCAAACTCAAAAAGTTGCTGATGACAAGGCCATCAAACCTGCCATAACATAACCCTTCATGACTTCCTCTCAAAACGGTATTACAGAAAATGGGAAGCCAAACATATCTTTGTACCAAATGTCAGAGTTTGAAAATATCTATTGTCGCAACGTTCTGGAAGGGGGTCCGATGTGGGTGGTACTCGATTGATTGAGAATTGATAAATTGTTTGGAGTTGCCTCGGAGTTAAAATTACACTTGACCTGTTAATCCGATTTTAACTTAATTCATAAAAAGTGAGTTAGAGTCATATATAATACTAGACTCATGACCTATTTAGGTTTATCCAAAAAAATTATGATTTAAATATGGGTCAATTATAGATTTATGGGTTGATTTATTTAATTTATTTGTTTTAAAAAAAATTTTAAATATATTTTTATAAAGTAATATTTTAAAATAAAATAATTTATAAATATAATTTAAAAAATTTAACATGATGGTAACTATTATAATTTATAAATTTTTTTTTAAAATTGATTATATTTATTTAAAATTTATAAATTAAGTATTATATACCACATGATTATTTATAAAAAAATTAAATAAATCATTTATAATATATATTTCTCAAAAAGTAAGTCATTACACTGAAAGCAATCAAATAGAGAGAAGTAAAATAATTTAAAAAATAACTCTACGTCGTCTTTTACTATTGGCCTCTCAGTGCAAATAATTTGTGTACAATTTATATTTATCTTCTAGTTATTTAGATAGCAAGTTTTGAAACGTCGAGACTCTCAGTTTTTTAATTGTGGTTTGAATAGTTTGAGTGAATAAAAACAGAGATATTTTTAAAAGTTATCAATGAGATAAACATAAAATATTCAAGATGATTTAAGTAAGGATTTTTGTTTAGTTAAAAGATGTAAAAAGTGCATGATTTTTCCTTTTTTGATTGATGCCAATTCTCAATTTCTTATGACTATTTTTGTTTGTTTAAGAAATAATTTTTAGATTGTGTAATATTAATTATGGACTAATATAAGTGTTCGAGGATCAATGTACTCCAAATAATAATTATTTTTTAAAATAAAATAAAAGCAAATATAATAATTGAGATTTGAAAATATACTCATTTTATAATTATTGTTCAAAGTTATTATTATTTAATTTTGATAAATTAATATTAAAATGTAACTAATTATATAAAAATATTAAAAAAAATTAAATCCATGAATTAACCTATAACCTATTAAGGTCAATTTAAAATTAACAATTTTTGACCAACAACTCATATAACCTAACTTGTAAAACCCGTATCCAAACAAACTCAATCCAAACCCAATCTAACTTGCCCAATTGCCACCTCTAGAGTCACTGCAAATCTTTTATTAAGTGTGATTAGTGACTTATTTTATTATTTATTTAAAATAAGATGATGTTATTGAGATAATCTTTTTATCTCATTTTTTTATATAATTTTTATATGTCATTAAATGAATAAATACATTCAATATCATTAATCTCATATGAATTAAAAAAATTAATTATTTTAATAACATGTCAAATTATACAATAAAATAAAATAAAATAATTACCCCAATAGCATTTCCCTTTAAAATAAGTAAGTTTTGGTCTATTAAATCAGAGTTGAATTCGAGAATATGATTATGCGGAAGGAAGATCTTAGCACCCACAACGCTTGTTCTATAAACATTACCAATTAACAAAATGTTCTCTTATTAAGCTAGACTAAATGATTCGTTATTAAATAATGATTATTTAAAAGGTTCTTCCGCTGCTCATGGTTGAACCTTTCATGCCTCCTTTTAATTAATATTAATATAGTCTTCGACTATTTGTGGTCAAATTTGAGAATTTTAATTTTTATAAAATATTATAATTTTAATGGTGTTAGTTTTTTGTTGAGAAATTTTATTATTTTTATTTTTATTAGTTTTGAGATGTTTTAATCTCTTATTTTTGTCTAGATTTTGTTGCTATTTAGAGGGATAGGACGTGATTTTTCAATGAATTTTATATAATTTTTATTCTTATTGTAGAATGCATAATAATATATTGAATTTAATAGAATATCTTATAAAAGTTGAGGGACTACATTTCAGGAAACAAGTTGTAGCCAGGGAGATAAATGAATAAATTCGAAGTTATAGGATCAAAGTACTGCATTATATAGAAGATGGAGGCCCAGATCTGCAATTTTTACCATTGAAGAAATTGCCAAGGAACCAGGAACCTGACAGGGTTTTGGTGTCGACACTACATGGTGGGTGTCGACGATTATAATCTTCTACCATTCATGGTTGGCTTCATGTCTTATATTAGTTTTAAATAAAATCTCTTTTCTAAAGAGTAAACAAGACA